ATGTGAAATTCCGGAGGGGACGTCGGATGGCGTCACGTGGGACGTAATGACGTGTGCCATTAATCGAACTATGTACTATAACATAAAAGGAACATGAAAGGAATATTCTAAAAGCCACTCATGTAAACACCATAATCATAATATTGGCTTATTTAGAATAAGGTAAATAATTAGATTACTGAAGTCCATGTAAACGTAGTCACTGTCACAATTTCTGTTTTAATTTAATTAATTGTGCAGCCCTAGTAACAACATAATGATAAAAAAAAATTATTATTTGAATGTCAAGAATGAATTTCCCCGCTCAAGATTGTTCAAACAAAAGACACAAACAGTGTTATTTTAGTATCACTGAGATACTTGTACAGTTTTTATTAATAGTTTGAATTAGGAAAAATAAAAACTTAATTTTGGTTTTAAAGTTTAAGAAATTCTGTTGTATGTATTTATGTATGCATGTATTTATTCATTTATTAATTTATTTGTTTGTGTGTATATTAATTTTTTCAGTTTCAGTTATTTTTGTACATAAAGATGAACTAAAAAAATATATAGTTTAAGGTTTTATTTTATTTCAAGTGAAAAACTTTTTTTAGTTTTATGTATTTTTACCATTTAATTTCAGTTAAGGTTGATTTCATTTTAAGTAAAATATTTAATCTATTTATTTAAAAAAAAAAAAAAAAAAATCAGCTAAATTGATTTTTATTAAATTTGAGAATTAAATAAAAAAAAAAAATTTAATTTTTTTTTTTATTATTTATTTTCAGTTAACTATAATAACCCTGGACCCAAAATACCCCAAAATTTCCATTATCTTGATTTACCTGTGTCAGCCGTCCCAATCCTCATGCTTTTTTCATGAACAGAGCCAGTGCAGTGGTCAAAATGTTCTCTCGAGGAGGCAACACTGTTCCCCCACAAAGTATTTTAATACCCAGAGGATCAGAGAGAGCAGCGCAGGATGTTTGGACAAACACAGACAAGAAAGACCTGCAGGGAGACTTATGGCCTCGTACTCCAGTAGCCCACATTCCTCTGTTATTACAAACCATAATGGCTTGATGCGTCCCTCTCTTTATTGTTGAAGTTTCCTCTCCACTAAAAGCTCTTAGATCAACTTTGTAATGGCTTTCTGTCCTTAGGCAGTGAAAATATTCCCTTTGGCTCAGTGATATAGCTTATAAAGCTGTGCAAAATGTGTCTTTTTATTAGAGTCCTCAGCGATGCAAGTGCACAGCTGCAATTTGTACAAAGTTTTAATAGATTCTGACAGCAACTTGCTGCCACTTTCTGCCAAGTCATTGCAATAAGTTTATTTCATGGACATGTTTACATTGTTTTGACGGTGTTTTTAAGCAGTCTGAATATAATATATTATATAGTGACCTTAGCAATTATATGATACTTAAGCCACACTTAATTGTTAACACTTAGTTGATTTGGTGTTTTGTTTATTTGTTTTTGTTGTTGTTTTGTTTTGTAGTTTTATTTTTGTGTGCGTTTTTGTTTGTTTGTTTGCTCTGCTTTTGTTTTTGTATGGGGTTGTGTTGGTTCAGTTGTTTTTTTTGTAAGTTTTGTTGTTTTATTTTGTTTTATTTTGCTTTTTGCTTTTTTATTTTGTTATTTTGGTTTGGTTTTTTGTGTTGTTTTTATTTATTTTGTTTAGTTTTTTTGCTTTTTTGTTATTTTAATTTGTTGCTTTGGTTTGTTTTTTGTTTGCTTTTTTGTTGTTGTTTTATTTTGTTATTTTGTTTTGCTTTGTTTTCTTTTTGTTTTTGGTTTGTTTTTTGTGTTGGTTTATTTTATTATTATTTTTCTTTTTGTTTTTATTTTGTTTTTATTTTTTTGCTATTTTTTTCTTGTTTGCTTGGTTTGTTTTTCTTTGCTTTGGTTTTGGGGATTTCTTTTAGCTTTTTTCTATTTTGTTTTTTGTTTGCTTTGTTTTTCTTTTATTTTTTGTTTTTGTTCAATTTTGTGTTTTTTTCCGCATTTTATTTTATTTTTTGTTCGTTTGTTTTAATGTGGCTTAGATGTCCACATATCTCTTCGGTCCACTGTAAGAGTAAGCTTCACACAGTTCAGAAGGAGATCTGTATCTTTTAAGTATGTTTGCGAATGTGATCGCCGATAGCGTGATGTTTTCTCAATTGTGTCTAGTAACCCCTCACTAAGAGACCGTTATGTGACTGCAGTGTGTTTGAGGGCAAGAAATGTCCTTTCTCTTTCTGTTATCTGTCTCTCTTTCACTCTTTTGCTCTCTTGTAACACTTCACTGCTTTTCTCCTACAGCACAGCAAAAAATACTGGAATACACACACATACACACACACACACACACACACACATTGATTGCCGTTAAGGCTCTTAGGCTCTACTGTCCTTCCCAGAAACCTCAGGGGTGTATTTAAAGAGTGCAGAGGCCACACTTTCTCCCACCATCCCAATGATCCTTATCTTCAACATGCTTTATTTCAAGGGTGCTGCTTATGGATTTTACAGCAGACCCATAAAACATACTTGAGTTTTTTTTTAATGGCTACATTAACATTTCAGAATTCCTGTATCGAAAAAAAGCACAAGATTGAGACCCTGATATATGATCATTTATAGTAAAGCTAATTAATTCAAGCTATATCGTTTTTAATACCTCTGCAGGACCTGCATATGGATTTTGCTGAAACAGTGCCTTGTGCTTAAATTTGTGGAATCTCTGGTGAAAATGCCACATTTATCCATATCAGTGTTGTTTGTCTTACAGTGAAGATGAGCTTTGAACCGATTCAGAGTTTTTTGCGGGAGCTGCCGAAAGAAGGCCATTCCATTAACCTTATTAAGAAGGACTCGGATCGGTCACAGACGAGACCAGAAACACTGAGGCGCCGGGGTAAGGATTTAACATCTTGACTGTTTTGGGGAAAGATATTTAAATAAAATACCATTAGTGAAGTTTATGAAGGCAAGCTTCTCTTCTACTATTGTTTATACACTACCAGTCAAAAAAATTATAAAAAAATTTTTTGAAAGAAGGCTCTTATGCTCACCAAGGTTGCATTATTTGATCAAAAATACAGTAAAAATAATATTGTGAGATATTATTCCAATTCAAAATAACAGTTTTCTATTTGAATATATTTTACATTTATTTTGATGCAAAGCTGAATTTCCAGCATCATTACTCCAGTCTTCAGAGTCACATGATCCTTCAGAAATCATTCTAATATTCTGATTTGCTGCTCAAGAAACTTTTTATTTTTATTTTTTATCAATGTTGAAAAAACATTTCTGCTTATATTTTTGTGGACACTATGAAACACTACCATTTAAAAGTGTGGGGTAAGTAATATTTTTTAAAAAAGAAGAGGAAATTAATACTTTTATTAAGCAAGGATGCATTAAATTGATCATAAGTGACATTATGACTAGGGCTGCCCTCGACTAAGGATTTTTCTAGTCGACTAATAGTCGTTCATCTTAAGCATTAGTCGACTAATCACACGTTTATTAATAAACCATTTAAATCATTATAATGAGCCTTTAATTGCCTACATAGCCTAATAAGCGCTCAAGCACACGCATAAAGCTTGCCACGGCACACTGGCAGAAGTAATTATTATGAGGGAAAAACAGTAAGGAGACTGCATTAACATTTTAATAATTCAATGATAAGTGCTTTCTTTGTTTCGGTTTAAGAGATGAAGTCGGCGACACTGGCTCGTCATCTCCGCAGCAGTGGACGCGCCTGTTTCATACGGATTAAGTAATATGAGAATATTTGTTTTTCATTTGAATTGGTTTAGTTTAAAGTAGACATTTCGCTCTCAATAGATTTTTTTCATATAAGGCAAGTATACACGGAGTTTCGCGCTCAAGTTCACGGAGACCGAGACGGCAGAAAGCGCATCCTGTTTACTTTCATTATTTTACAAACGCGCATTTTGTTGTTATTGTGAGTGCACACAAATAAACGTAGAGTCTTTAAAGATTTGAAAGATGTATTACTCTTATCTGTATGACCAAAAATTACGGAGTATTTTAAGAGCAAGTGAGTGCACCGGTGCCTCCATCTGTCCTGCAGTGACTGTTCAGCCAGCCCGGTCTCATGAAAATGCGTATAAATAGTAGGCCAAATAAAAACAAAAACTCGTGGTATTGATTCTACCCCACAACCCATTGCGTAGCATATACATGTCTAAGTAAATTTTTGCATATCAATACCACGAGTTTTTGTTTTTATTTGGCCTACTATTTATACGCACTTTCATGAGATCGGGTTGGTTGAGCGGCCATGTAAAGTTGCTAATACTTACATATTTAAGATGATAAGCCATATTTGTGGTGGATGAATGATAGGCGAGCGCCAATGTGTTTTTTTTATTTTTCTGCGACTAATTACATTTTGGTCGACTAACGATTAGTCGACTATTAGGGGGCAGCCCTAGTTAAGACATTTATAATATAACAAAAAAAATTCCGTTTCAGATCAATGCTGTTCTTTTGAACTTTTAATTTAAAAAAATTAATCATGGTTTGCACAAAAATATTAAGCAGCAAACACTGTTTTCGACATTGATAATAATAAGAACCGATATTAATAATTGAGGAGCAAATCAGCATGTTCTGAAGGATCCTTATTAAAGGATCATGTGACACTGAAGACTCAGGAATAAATTGCACCTTAAAATACATTAAATTAGAAAACAGTTATTTTAAATTGTAATAATATTGTACAATATTACTGTTTTTACTGAATTTTTGATCAAATAAATACAGCCTTGGTGAGCATAAGTCTTCTTTCAAGTAGTGTAGTGTATTCAGGGTTTGAACAAGCACATTTTGCAACCATAGCAAGAAGGAAATTGAATCACTTCTGCTCTCTTGTATTCAGTCAGAGCTCTTTAAATGTCTTCTCAGTCCTCTTTAGAGAAGCACAGATGCGTGGTAGTTACACTTGGAGCTTTTAGCAGAGCTTTTAAGTGGAATAAATTCGCTCACAGTGCTCTGCTGGTTCAGAAGCTCCACTTGCATAACCACACTAATGCTGGATGAGGTCAGTGATACTCACTCAAAGGACCCTAAAGGCTTTGCTGGAGCCTTTCTAATGAAACGATAAGGGACACATGTCCATCAGATCAAGTCATCTGTTTTTAGAAAAGATGAGCACTGCATGATTGCTGAGAAGTGTGTGCGTCAGTTGTTTGTCAGAAGCATACGTGTGCTTCAAAGACGAGCATGAGCTCACTTTCTCAGAAGAAAAGGTACAAAGCTGTCACTGGCGCAGTATACTCTAAGGTGCAAAAGCTGAAATGTGCATCTGTGTATTTTATTTAACTTTAAATGTTACATGTTAGTACCTCAAAAGCACATATTAGTAGCTTTTGAACAGGTGCAGCCCCAGAGACAGTTTAGTACCTTTTTCTGAGAGTATGAAGGAATAGTTTACTGAGAAATGAATTTACTCACCCTCATGTTGTTCCAGACTCGTATGGCTTGCTTTTTATATGAAATAGAAAAGGAGAGATTTTGCAGAATCTGTTGGCTGCTCTTTTCCATATAACTAAAGTGAATGAGATTCTTAATTCAGAGTCTCCCTTTCCTTTCATTATATGGGGAAAATGGCTAGTACATTCTTTGATATTTCTCATTTTGTGTCCTACAGAAGAAAACAAGCCATACGGATTTTAAATATGAGTGTGAGTTTTTATTTTAGGTTAGCTATTGCTTTAAAAGTAATAATCCCTTGTGGAAAAAAGTACACTTTTAAAAATCAGTACTACTTATGGAAAAAATATACTTACATTTTCAGACGCTTAATTGCATGTTATTTTAAATTTATATGAAATGCAATTAGCTGAACTTTAGAGAGATTTTTAAATCTTATTTTTTCTGTGCTTCTTCATATGCAATTTCATAGTTCACTTTAACCATATTTCAATAAACACTTGAAGTAACAAACTAAAATGTACTTATGTGTTTAAATATATTTGTATTTACACATCTGTAATTAAGTTGCAATTTAGTTCATTTAAAATGTATTAATATTAAATGTAATGTTCAATAACACTACAGTTGAGATTATACGCAAGCACTTTACGTGTGCTTTAATATGTTGGTCAACACATCACAATAAGTGTAATTTAAAGCACAACAAAAGATTATTAAAACATAATGATTTCAAATGTGCTTTAAGGTAAAACTTAATTTGAAATTATAACAAATTGGATAAAAGTGTGTTTAGAAACACAATCACTAAAGTGTACTCTCTTTAAGTGGCCTTTTATTTCATTAATACTCTATTTTCTGCAAGTAAATTTTTTTTTAAATATACTTTTAAGGTTTGAAGTACATTTAATACAATAAAGTGCACTTCTTCTCTAGCATGGTAATAATAACTGGGCCATGTAGATGTACGTTTATGGGTATCACAATGACATTTTCTCATGTGCAGTGAAACCGGTTCACCATATTGTGCAGGCGTCATGTGACCAACATTACCATCTCCTTTTATTGCTCACAAGCTGTAAAATTGTGGTTTGCAAGCCAAGCTGCTGGACTTTGCTTTACCCTTTTTAAGTAGGTATATGGCTTACTAATGGCTTTTTAGCCTTCAGTGTTTAGATCTCAAACCAGACTGCCTTTGTCTTGTAGAAATTTAACTGTGTAGGCTGTTTGAGAATTAATTATGCCAGATAATTAGCTTTTTTCAGTGTGTGTGACGGCCACAAGTCAAAGTTGCATTAATATCTAATGAGATGATGCTGTTTTTTCAAGCTTGTACTGCATGACAATATAGTGAACTTGGCAGTGGAGCAGTATGGATTTGCGCTGCCGCAGAATCTCTATGCCAGCCCATTTAACAGTGCCAATATCAGCACTGTTCTGCCCAAAGAGAGTCACTCTGCCACCTTCACGAGAAAAAAGGTCATCCAGGCTATTAGTGCAACCCTGCATATGTCGGAGATGGATGATTCTGGCCTGTAGACTGTAAGCGGGTTCAGCATCGATGAATTGTGTTTGTGTAATTTACGAGGGCTGTGTGTTCACACAGCGGCACAAAATACTTGTTTGGAAAGCTAAATGCAGTTTTGTTCAGACAGTTTGGTTATGAAAGACTGACAAATCTGAAATGCTTAAGCTTAGAATTGAATCCTTACAACTGAAGTGTTTTCTTTTTTTTCAGTGTTAAAAATGTTTACATCATGAATTATTCATTCATAAATATCATTGCGTTTTAAGGAAACAAACCTTGCCTTGTCAGAAAAAGGTCAGATTATTTGATATTTAAGAGACTTTTGACCTTGACCTTCTCAAAGTATTAAATCAAATTATACAAAGCTAAGAAATATAAGTATATGAGATAAATAAATAAAATTTAAAAGTATATAAATAAAAAGTATAATAATGTAAGTGTATTATATTCTTTTTCTTAATTCTGTTACATATTATATAAGTAAAATTTCTTGAAAAATTTTATATTTTTTATTCTATGTAACAAAATATAATATACTAACATTACATTGTACTATATATATATTTATATATATATCAGTGCTGTCAAACGATTAATTGCATCATAATAAAAGTTTTTGTTTATGTAATAAATGTGTGTGTACTGTGTATATTTATTATGTATATATAAATATTTAAAGTAATAATATAAAAAAATGCATATAAAATGCAAAACTAAGATTCGTATTGTTTTAATGCTTTTTTCTTTGTAAAGATATCATGACACAGACCGTTTTTACTTTTTACCTTGTACTCCCCAACAATATCAATCATTAATTTTAATTCACACATTTTAAATCGTGCTTATCATATTTAATTTAATTTAATTTGTGTTTTTAAACATACTAATAGGTCCAGCCAAAAAAAAAAAGTGATAACCCATATGATAACTGTGTACTTCTAGAAACAAAATTGGAAGTTTTAAAATTGCAGAAATTGCTACTAAATTTCACCAATAATTACAAAGAAACAAGTCACACAAAAGTTTTTGTTTACATAATATATGTGTGTGTACTGTGTATATTTATTATTTATATATAAATACACACACATACAGTATATATTTTGAAAATATTTACATGTATATACATTTATATATTTATATTGTTATATTTTATATTATATATAAATATATTTAATATATAAACATAACATATCATATGTGTTTGTATTTATATATACATAATAAATAAACACAGTTCACACTCATATATTATGTAAACAAAAACTTATTTTGAAAAGAAACAAGTCACACATTTAATTAAACATGAAATTTTGATGTAAAAAAAAAACAGAATTTTTTTTTTTCTTGTAAACCTCCAATTAACTTTAAAATAAAACTTTAATAAATATTTTTTTTTTACATTGCATCTGAAAAGCCGGTTGTAACTGTATGTTTCTCCTCCCCAGACTCCCCTGACAAGCCTCATTCCCGCTCGCTGTCACCTCCGGAGAACGGCTTCAAGCATCTGGAGTCGCGGCTCTACAGCAGCCAGGGCAGGGGTCCGACGAAAGCCGAGCGCTGGCCTGTTACTAACACTCAGTACAGCCACGAGCCCCGCTCTCAGTCCCAGCCTCATCCCCCTGGAGAGAGCCGCTCTCGGAGGCTGGATGTGGCCAACGGCTACGAGACCGACAGCAGTCAGGACTCTCGGACGTACAGCCGGCCGAATCGAGCGTGGAGGCCGATGCGAGAGGCGCTTAATGTCGACAGCGTCCTAAACAGCGATAATAATCAAAACTACCCCAACTCTCGCAGACAGAACTTTAATCAGGACAGCGGAGAGTCGGCATGGGTCCGACGAGAAGAACGCAAACCCAAGAGCTTAATGACGATTTACGAGGACGAGCAGCGGCAGGACATGGGCAGCAGGAGCTCGCTGGAATCAGAGGACAGGGTTAAATCAAGCGTCAGTAACCTCACCATTCGGACTGATAACTGGAAAATCCAGCGCACTGAATCTGGATACGAGAGCAGTGATCGTCTCAGCAGCAGCTCGGCAAACCTGGACTCTCCTGTGGTGGAGAACTTGAGCAACAAAGACATGCAGTCCATACCAGAACCAAACCTCTCCAGGTAAGAGCTACAGTAATCCTCAATTAGGAAGCACATCAAGACATTTGCATGGATTGATAAGTGTCACTACAATGATGACATAAATGTGATTACAAGAGAAGAAATCAATATGAATTCAGTAATGACATGAGCTCAGTTGAGTGTAATTTTGTAACGCTGGGAAAACAAATGACCGAGATTTATATTTACATACTCTACCATTTAAACATTTTGTGTGAATATGATTTTTTGAAGAAGTTCATATTTTTATTCAGGACAGATGCATTAAATGGATCAAAAATGTCATTTATAACAGATGTCAATTTTTTTTTACTTTATATTTATCAATGAATCCTGGAGAATATATATATGAAGAGTTCAGATGCAAAAGCCTGTAAATGCCGTTTGAAATGTTCTTCAAAAATGAGCATTTTAATCAGGCTCCTGTGTGTAGGTTAAGTAATTTCACTTTAAAGCCAATGAATAGGTTCTTTTCATTGCAATTAAAGTGAAATAACTGAACATAAACATAGCAGCCTGATAAAAATTATCATTTTAGAAGAAAATTTCAGATGGCACTTAGAGGCTTTTGCATCTGAACTCTTCATTCACATATATATATATATACAGGGTCGGGGCTAGGATTGGCCACCCCACTCACAACTGCTGCTTCTGTCACTTTTTCTCTTGAGAAGAAGTGCATTTATTCAGTCGCAGAACGACTGAGAACGGGAGGCATTTCAGACGCGCGCTCCTCTTCACTTCAGTGCCAGGCGCGAGTCAAGCGAGCGCAGAAACGGTACTGTGCTCACAGCACGTGCTCTCCAATTGCACGCACAAAGGTGCCGGCGCGCGCTGTAGCCTGTATCCTTTCATATCAAAGCGCGAAATAAACTACGTGCATGCAATGCCGTGGTCAGTTAAGTCATGAAGTTACCACTATGGCAATTAAAGCTGCCTTAAAACTGTGCATGCATGTAATATATTTTATACGAGTCACATTTAAGAACATGTCTCTGAAATGTTTTTCAAAACTGCCCTGGAGCAGCCCAGCGCTGTCTCCCTCATCTAACACACCCGATTTAACTCGTCAGCTCATTAATAGAGACTTTAAGACCTGAAGTGGGTCAGAAAAGGTAAAAAGAGTTGAGAGAAAATATGATGCGTGTCAGATCCGCGTCACGTTCAGCAGC